CATGGCAACACCCTACCATAAACATTCTGAGGACTCTTGGGAGGCCATTCCCTCAAGTCAGCCCTCAGGCAGGACGTTTTGTCAGGATACCTGAGGGCTAGAAAAATGTGTGTTTTGTTTTTACTTTAGGACCCAGTGACCGGTTCTAGAAAACTCTCGCCTTTGCTGCTGCCTGCACCTTGACTACTGGGTCAGGTAAGCGCCCTGTTTCCTGACTCTAGATGCCAGTGGAAATTCAGTGTTTGTGTTTCTAGCCTGAGAGAATGACGGGCTGGCTGTACTGCAAATGAGGCTTTTTAAAAGAATTGTTTTGTTTTGTTTGCTGTTGTCTCTGTTTTAGAACAGTGACCTTTAAAATGGAACAGAGCCCAAGCCCCTTCACCCTAAGTGAGGACTGTCTCTTGCCCTTATGGGCCTGGCTTCTGAAGATCCAGGCCCAGCTCACTGAGTGACTTTGGGCATTGTGCTGGCTAGCTCTTGTCAGCTCACTTAAACTAGAGTCTCCTGGGAAGAGGGTGCCTCAGGTGAGGAATTGCCTCCATTAGGTTGGCCTGTGGCCATAGTTGAGGAGCGTTTTCTTGATTAGTGGATGAGGTAGGAGGACCCAGCTCGCTGTAGGTGGAGCCATCCTTAGGCGTAGGTGGTCCTGGGTTGTTTGAGAAAGCAAGCTGAGAAAGCTACAGGCGTGGAGCCAGTAAGCAGCCTTCTTCAGCCGTCCGCTTCAGTTCCCGCCTCAAGCTCCTGCTTGACCGGACGCCGCTGGTGGACAGATTGTAATCAGGAACCGTAAGTGAAACAGATCTTTTCTTGCCCGAAGTTGGTTTTGGTCAGTGTTTTATCACCGCGAGCTGCAACAAAAATGTCAGTCACTGGATTTCCGTGGTCTTCCGCTTCCAGCCTTCTCTCTATAGATATCTCTGTTGACTGTGCTCTCCGTAAGGGGACTTTGTTTATATCGACAGAGTGGTTCAGCTTCTTGTGTGCTTGCTAGTCAGCTGGGTCTCCTGTGCCTCCTTCCTCCACTCCAGTGTTCTACGGAGGGAAGTGGGAGTGAGGGGCGGGGATAACTGACTCTCACGGATGTGGATCAAGTGTTGCAGCTGGTTGGGCCGCTAGTAGGGCCTTTATTCCTCACCTGATGAGAACCTCGAGGCTGATGGTGGTGTTTGTGAGCTGGCAGCTGCCAAGGAGAAGCTGACTTCTGTCATACGCAGCAGTTTTAGGAAAGCATTCTGACCTGGGTTTGTCTAAGGCTGTTTGGTACTAAGACTCCCGTGAGGACACTGGAGTTGTCCCCTTTAACTCAAAGAAGTTGTACCTATTTAATCCCTAGCAAGAAACCTTAGCCCTTCAGGCTCCCTTGGTTCTGGAACTCCTGGTTTGGGATGGGCCTTACACAAGGTGTATTAACAGCCTTTCCAAACTGCATAAGAAAAGGGAATTCAGAGCACCAGATCCCTCGTAGGGGTTCCAGGGCACTTCCTCTGCTTCAGGAAGAATCATGTAGGAATTTATCTGTTAGCAGACATCCTGAGGGACGGAGGAAACACTCAGGAACACTCAAAGGCATAAAACCAAGCCTTTGTAATCTGCTTTGGGATGCAGCTTCCTGGAACATCCTATGTCCATGTCCTGTTACCCAGCAGACCGCTTTCTCCCGATGCAAGGAAACTGGACTTTAGTAGTTGGACTTCCTTGTCAGACTTTCTCGAGCCACCAGCCCCCAAATAATGACACAGAGACTTATTATTAATTATGAAAGCTTGGCCTTTATCTTAGGCTTGTTCCCAACTAGCCTTTATGGCTTAAATCAACCAGTTTCTATTAATCTGCGTCTTGCCATGTGGCTTTTTACCTCTCCTTGCTGTTGTGCCTGTGCGCCTAGATTCTTCTCCGGTTTCTCTCTCTCTCCAGAAGTCCAGCCTTTTTTCGCCTGCCTAGCTGTTGACCATTTAGCTCTTTATTAAACCAATCAGGTGTTTTAGGTAAGTTAAAACAGTGGCACATCTTCACACAATGTGATAAAATATCCGGCAACAGACTTCGACAATTCTCATAAAATCATATTTGGTGCTCATATTTCCTTTATCTTCCTAGAGCATAGTCTCAGAACATTTCTTACTGGGTTTGGTGGCCATGGGAATGGTCATCTGACTTTTTATTTGCCCGTTTCTGGTTATCTGCTTCCCTATTGCCTTGTGTGTCTGTTCTATAACCCATTACTATTGGACAGAAAAGACCCATATTTTGAAAGGCTCCATCAAAATGTTTCTATGAAACTGCATTTGCCGGCCGTTTCTACTGTGACAAGTTGAATTTTGACTCTTCTCCAAGATATATTGGATTCTCAACTTTCAGGACTTCTAGATGTGATCTTACTTGAGATAGGGTCTTTGGTGAGAGCGAGTGAAGTTAAGATGGAGCCTAATCCGGCATGGCTGGGGCTCTAAAGGGGAGAAACTGGGAGAGAGGCGTGTATGAGCTGAGAGGCCTGGAGGAAGTCAGGACAAACCTGCACACACGTAATTTTGGAAATCTAGTCTCCAGGTCTGAGTTTCTTTTGTGCAAGCCATTCACTGGTACTTGTTTGCAACAGCCTTAGCAAAACGATGCATTTGTCGGTGAGACCTAGGGTAGCTTCCCTGTCCTCCATGGTGGCCCCTACTTAAGAACTATTGCTAGTAATCTTGGGTGCCATGCTAAGTGCTGCTATAGGAACTTTACTTGTAACTTGCCTAATATTGCCATCAGTATCGAGAGTGCTGTTCCCATCTTATGGATGAGAACACCAAGGGTTGGTGAAGTTCAATAACCAGCCCCAACTTCAACAACTTAGTTAATAGATCCTAGATTTGAGGTTCGCATGCAGGTCACCTCCCACATCTTGAATGCAGACGTGTGATTTCAACATATTTTGCTCAGTGTGTAACCAGGGTGTGGGTTATAAAATAGGAAGAGATAAAGAATGGGCAGGATGAAAGCAGCCAGTAAGGTTTGGGGATTGGATGGACTAGAATCTGGGAGAGCTACACACACACACACACACACACACACACACACACACACACACACACATTTTCCTGGTCTCTGTTGCTCCCTGTCAATGGGAATGGGGAGAGGGAAGCTAAATCACACTTGGAAATGAGGCACTGATTGCAGAGGAGCTGAGGACAGAGTCCCGCCTCTGTCTCCCAGAACAGTCTCCTCTTGGTGCTCAGCTGGGAGTTTCCACTGAGGAGAAAAAGGCAGCAGCTCAAGCCTTGGCTTCGGTACCCAACTCCTTCTCATGAGAGCTATGCTGTCCTGCCCTGCTCTCCCCTGTCTTCCCCTACCTTTCCCTGCCCTCCCCTGCCCTAGGCACCCCTAGACCCAGAAGCTGACAGGGCAAATTCAGTCATCGTAGACTGTTGGTGACAAGGAAGCAGGACATTACCTGCACAACACAGCCCGAGTGGTTCACAGGGAATCACTTTTCCCGTCCTGCTCTCACATGAGTGGGGGCACAGTTGCCTGTGGAGGCCAGAGGGTCATCTTAGGTGTCATTTCCTCAGGATCTCTTGGCCCAGGGCACTCTGTCTAGGCTGGGTTGACTGGACTGCCAGCCCCAAGAACCTTCTTGTCCTCCCCTCTCCAGCACTGGGGTTACAAGTCAGTGCTGCCATAGTCAGCTTTTTTTTTGCGGGGGGCTGGGGGAACAAATTCAGATTTTCATGCTTGTCCACGATCTCTACTGGGTTATCTTTCCAGCCCCCATCTGTCTGTCATTTTGAGGTACAACCTGTTGTCTAAAGGAAGATGTGCGGCTGATGCTATTGGATCCCCCAGCTTCCCCAGGATGTGTGTTGGGATCCCTCTCAGGTGAAGCTTATGTGCTGACTGTGCAGCACCCCAGGAAACAGGAAGTCACTTGTTCACCCTCTTCTGCCACCTAGCGTTCCCTCCCAGGTCCCAATGATTACAGTTCCTTGAAGCACCTCAGTAGCACGTGCTCCCTCTGAGGTCAGGTTGGGGTCTCAATGCTGCGTTCTTGTATTGCCTGTGATGTGATCCAAGGGCTTAGCTATGGGAACGCTTAGCTCCTATCCGCAGTTTCCAGCAAGGCAGGCACTCCTGTGAGCAGGGCACATCTCCACTAAGGTGAGCAGCTAACAAGGTCGAGCTCAAGACTGCTGAAGCAAGAACCAGGCCTCCGCCTTCAGGAACTCTGACTTAAACCAGAATAACTCACTGAATAAGTTAATGAAGACCCAAGGTGGTCTATAGAGAATAAAAATTAAAGCACGTTTGCTTCAGTGTGGGGCACTTAGTTAATATTGATGTCACTTAGGCAAGTGATCATCTTTATATGTTTATAATAATTAATTACTCGTAGCTAATTGAAGTGGGCAAGTATAGGTTTTTGTTTTTTTTTTTTTTTTATGGCAAAAGCTATTTGAGTACCAGGTATGTATCAGTTTAAAAAAATGTTTATGGGAATGGTTGCTTTGCCTAAATGTATGTTTGTGTATCCCATGCATGCTTGGTGCCCAAAGAGAGTGTCAGAGCCTCTGGAACTGGAGTTATAGACCATGTGGGTGCTGGGAATTGAACCCCGATCCTCTGGAAGAGCAGCCAGTGTTCTTAGCTGCTAAGTCCTCTCTCCCATCCTACCTAATGTTTTTAAAAGGCCAGAACTAACTGTACCACTTCAGATGTCTAGTCCCAAGATATATTATTTGCTCTGTAGCTATAGGAGTCAATTTAGCTTCCCATGAAACTATTTCTCTTGATAGTTTTAGAAGACAAAGCTTTCATAGATGAATTTATTCTGCGAATTCTCCAGGCTTTTAAAAGGGTATTGTTGGATTCATCCAATGTAGCAATTTAAAAGTTTGCTTTGAGTAAGGTTTAAATGTTGGCTATTCGGAACTTGCAGTTCCTTATCTTGTCTGTGGTAATCCACGTGCTATGTGGAAACTACAATCCCCTCTCCAGCATTGCACAAAAAAAAACCAACCACACATTTTGAGGTGCAGATAGCTTGCTTTATTTTTCCTTTTTATCTCAAGGAGGTCCAACATTTATAACTACCAATTATACCGGCATGAAAAGGACTACATCAAATTGATAATTTGTTTGTGGGCAGTTGGTAGTAATGTTGTTTTAACGACAGCTTCATTTGTTGTTATTATTTTCTTGTTGTTATATTTTGCTGTGGCTCATTGCTTAGTTGCCCAGTTTCAGGTGTAATTTAAATTTAGAACTACCACACGAGGCATTAGCTGCACCTGGGACCTCCAGGAGTTGGCACTGCTCTGGCATGGGAATACATGAATAGCCTGGTGAAACGAGGGGATGGCCAGGAGATGGTACTTTTTCCAGGCTACCCAGGCACTCCTTCTGTCAGAGACAGTGTGAAGTGAGCGAGCAAAGTGTTGGCCGTTACACTTTGCTCTGGTAATACTCGTCATGATAATTTTAAGTGTGACATCATCAGGGAAAATGTAAGACGTTAAAGTGTTGCTTACAGGAGGGTAGGTGCAAACATCACCAATGCCTTACATTTCTGATTCGATAGGTATCAGTGCTCATGTCAGGGACATGCACAGCATCCTCTCTTAGGTGGACAGGACATCTTCAGTGGGGAATTTCTCCACCCACTGAGGCATACTTAGACATCAACAGTATGTTGAGGCACAGAGATTGATTTAAGTACTGGCAGGGTATTCGTTCCATAATCCATAGAAACTTTCTCCTACCAATGGTTAGTTTCATAAGTTACAGTGTAAAATGTCATATAATAAATGGTACAAAACTTTATAACCGTGAATCCGGCTGTATACGGTATGTACATGTCATTAGCAAATATTCTCAGGTATGAAAGGATCGAAATGCCTATTTTTGGAACTGTGAGACTCACTTAGGTGAATACAAAACTACTGAAAAATATTTACAGGTCAGAAAGATTAGTCCATGTGAATCGTTTGTGAGAGATTGTACGTGTGGAGTATTAGAGCCCCCCGGCCCTCTTACATAGAGCGGATATTAATATTCACAGTAGCAGAGTCAGATCCGAATTCATTCCCTAAGCTCAGGGTATAAAGTCCGCCGTCTTGTTTCTGTACGTCCATGATGATCAGGGTTGTCAGGTCGTCTGTGTTTTCGATGTGGAATCTTCCATGCTGGTCTTGGTTCTGGATGGTCCTGCCGCCACAGGACCATGTTATTTCTGGAGTAGGCTCCCCAGTAAAAGCGCAGGCTACTGTGAGCACTTTGCCTTCATCGATGCTGATATCAGACGGGAGAGCTTCAATTTTAGGTGGAATTCCTTGATGGGAGGGATAGCAACAGAAACGTTTTAGGGTGAGAGAAACAAGAAATCCTATTTGTTTTCTAGTGAATTTTGTGCGTGAAAACTGTGGTTCCCAACCTGAAAGTTGCGACCCCACTGGCAAACTTCTATCTCCAAAATTATTTACATTATGATTCATAACAGCAGCAAAGTTATAGTTTTGAAGTAGCGACGGAGATAATGTTATAGTTGGGGTCACCACGTGAAGGACTGTGTTAAAGGGGGGCAGCGTCGGGAAGGTTGAGACCCGCTGCACTAAAGCTATACTGTGCCATGTGGCTTGGCTCCCTCCACCAGGAATTTCATTGCTCACCTCTTCCGCCTGCTCTCAGCATCCTACTGGTGGAGCTTTCCAGATGTGTCATGCTAGATTGCCCCATAAAACTGCTGGAACTCATTTCTACAAGGGACTCTTGCATGGAAGACATGCTTTGGGCAGACATGCTTGCAAACTTCATTTCAGTCATGCTAGCGCTGCTGCTGCTGAAGCTGCTGAAGGACGCCTCCTGCTTAGAGGCAGACATTTGGACGGACTGAGACGAGAAGCTTCCTTGCAAGCTCGCGTCACCACTTGTTCTCAGCACCACCTCTCGGGATGGTTCTTCAACGAGAGCTGTGGAGCATAGCAGATACACAGGGGACAGCAAGGACATCTGGTTATTTGGTGACGTCTGACGCCAGCTTAACGGGACTGAAAACTTAACACCCACGGAAACAACACAATCCAAACAGTTTGCTGTTGAAGCATAAGCGAGTACATATATACATACATTTGTCGAGTGCTAGCAATGCGAAATGATCCTTAAATGTCTAACATTACACGCAGGTGCTAGAAACCACTAGGAGAAAAATGATTAGCCATATATGAGGTAGCTGACACATGGCAGTAGGAAGTTTTACAGGGCTGTGGTAGCTTTACTGCCAACATTTAACTTACCCAAATTCCTGCTTAGAGAATTGAATTATGAGGATTATGTCACCCAAGATGCCCGTCTCTCCTACCCGTAGTCTTTTGAGAATTTTCTGTGCTTGAAACACAAGCAACCCTCACCTCACCCCTCTGAGGTCTTAACAGATGTACTTACGAAGGACTGTCAGGGAAGCTGTGGCCGAACATTGGCCGCGGAAATTTTTGGCCTTAATGGTGTACTTTCCACTGTCGCTTACAGATGCATTTCGGATTTCAAGTGTGTACACATTTCTGGAGCGACTCACGCTGACATTGGAAGAAATGGAAATCTACAAGAGTAGGGAAAAGGCATTAAAGTCTTTACCTGAAGACGTGATATTTTAAATTTCTTTCAATATATATTCATAACTTAAACTTACGGGAAGGTTGTTTTTAAACCACTCAATTTCAGGGGATGGCTCCCCGCTGACCTCGCAAGAAAAGAGAACGTTTTGCCCTTCGTTAACATTTTGAGATCTGGGCTGCGAGATGAAGGCTGGAGCATCAGAGAGTTCTTTGCTCAAGGTCAAGTCGTACTGGCACTTGACGACTCCCTGACTGGTTCTGCCTATGCAGGTGAGGATTCCTTCGTCTCTCTGACTGGCTTGCTTGATGGTGAGGGTTTGGTCACTGCCAGATACTCCGTATCTGTATTCCTCCGAGTTAGTAAGCTCAACGCCATTCAGCACCCATTTCACATCGGTGGCGCCAGCAATGTTGGCTTTCAGAGTCACCCTCTGGCCATCGGTTATGCTCATCTGAGTAGACAGCGCTTTGATCTCGGCGTGAGTTTTGACTTCTTCTGATGCCTGTGAGGTTTTGGTGACTTCTTCGTGGACAATAGATTTTTCTAGGGAGGCTGCCTCTGATCTCTTGACCTCCTCAGAAATCAGAACTTTGGATGTCTCCTCCTTGATGGCCAACTTCTCATGAGATTTTACCTCTGACATCTTGATTTCTTCAGAAGCGAGGGATTTTTGAGAAATTTCCTCTTGGATGCTTGCTTTCTTCTGAGATGTAACTTCAGAGGTCTTCTGGGTAGATACTTTCTGTGCCTCAGTATCTTTTACAGCTAAAAAAAAGGAAACCTCTGTAAGTAGACATATTTGGAAAGTGACCTCCCTCTCTGCGTTTGTAGATTCTACTGTGATGTGCATTCAGAAGCAAATGCTAGCTTCCGTGTGCGACTGTAGGAAGTGGTCACATACAACTTTTGAGATTGCTGCCATGGTTCCTTAAACTAGACTAAGTTGAGGATGATTTTTATGACTGAGGGGACATGTCTGGAACAGGGGAGGCAGAGGTTTAGAAGTACGGACTTTGGAGATTTTGAGCAACTGAAAAGCTATCTTATAAAAGATTGAGGTGTCTAATTTTAACTGGGATAGGAGTGTAGCTCATTCCCCAACTTTGTGCTCCTTGTAAAATGGCAAGCATCAAAGTTTAAAGAGAAACTAACAGTTTATATATTCACTCAATTTTACTTATCTTATTTTTTGAGGCAGGGCTTCATATAGACTAAACTGACTTCAGAGTCACTGTATAACTGAGGCTGACCTTGAACTCCTTACTCACCTGCCCTAACCCAGGGCCTTGATTATAGGCGAGAGGTACTAGACTTACCCGACTTTATTCTTAAATATCCCCGAGAGCAGAGTAAGATCTGTGGAATCTCACAGAGCACCACACGTAATCAGGCACGCCTTTTATGCTGATACAGGGGCATCTATTAACTGTAAATCTGGTGTGTGCTGTGTGTTGGATACTGTTTTAACCGTGTTCTCTAGTACACATTAGTTAGGAATGAAACTCCACCCACCTTTTACTGTAAGCTTGCAGCTGGAGGACACAGATCCAGCAGAATTTGTAACTGTGCAGGCATAAAGTCCGCTGTCAGAAGCCTCGGTCTTGAGGATTTCCAGGGTGAATCCTTCTTTGTCTTTGGAGAGTTTGTATTTGCCATCTTGTGCGAGAGCCTGTGGAAAGCAAGTGGTTGGAGTTTTAGAGCATGGTTTACCATGGAACTTTCTTTATGAGTCGGGGATGAGTGGGGAGACATGAGATTTTTCTAGAAAACAGTTAAGGGGCATTTTAGAACTTGTTACCTTTCCATCCTTTGTCCAGGTGACAGTTGGCTGGGGCTCTCCATTAACTTTGACTGTAATTTTCGCAGTACTGTCTGAAGAAATGGTTGTATCCTGCAACCCAGTAACAATTACTGGCTTTGAGGAAATTGATTCAGGAGCTTTTGGTTCCTGTTTCTTGGCTTCTGTTGACTCAGCAGTTTTCTGGGCCGACTTCTTGGCTTCTGTTGACTCAGTTTTCTGAGCTGGTTTCTTGGCTTCCATTGACTCAGCAGTTTTCTGAGTGGATTTCTTAGTTTCTGATATGCTCGACACCTGCTCATGAATGCTCTTGAAAGACTGTCCAGTAAACTGGAAGCTGGTTTTGGAAGTTCCTCCTTCACCAGCGACCTCACAGACATACTCTCCGCAATCAGACTCGCTAAGGTGATGAATTTTGAGTTCGTAGGTACCGTCCGCTGAGTAATGAAACTGGAAATGCCCATTTTCCTTGAGTTTCTTGCCGTCTTTATACCAGGTGACCTCTTTTGCACACAGAGCGCTACTTTCAACCGCACAGGTCAGCTTTGCAATATCTTTAGATGCCTCTGCTTTCAGGGACTGAGTTATCTTCGGTGGAGCCGAGGCTGGAAGCTGTTGAGTCTTCTCTGCCGGTGTCGGTTTTGTCTCGGTGGTAGGTGACACAGCTTTCGGGAGAGAAGTCACTGGCTCTGGAGATTTGACTCTCTTGGGAGACTTCACTGTTTCTGGGGACTTCACTCGAGGCTCGGGGGACTTGACTCTGGGTGGTGACGTCACGGTCTTTTCCGGAACCCTAGCCTTTTGCACGGTCAGCGTGAACTGGGCTTCCTGCTTTCCATCGCTGTTTTCGACCACCACACTGTAGCTGCCCTCGTCGGAAGCCTGCACGGAAGTGATCTCAAAGGTCGATTTGTACTTGGTGGTGGTCACTTGGTGGCGCGGAGAAGTACTTATCACTTGGCCTCCACGCAGCCAGGTCACGGTTGGTACCGGTTCCCCATCTGTATCGCAAGAAAACCTTGCAGGCTCGCCTTCATAGACAGTTATGGACCGTGGTTTCGTTAAGATTCTTGCTGCCAATGTCGTCTTCATCTTTCTCACTGTGGATTTTTCTTCGAGTGACTTTTGCTCCGATGCGGCGCTTTTCATTTCTGCAGCTGCATAATGCTCATAGGAAGAGAGGCTTTCTCTTGTCTCCGTCATTTGTGACTTCACTTCCCTGACTGAAGAGGCCGCTTCCATCTCTGATGTCCTCTTAAATGACGAAACTGCATAGGCCTCTGTTTTTGTCAGTTCGGGGAAGACTGACTTGGGGACTTCCTCATCCCTGCGACGGGATGCATAGGTGGTGTAATCACCCCCCGTGACGTCCAGGGTTGCATAGTCAGATGCTTCACCTTTGTAGTTGGTGCACACGGCCCGGTAGGTGCCGCTGTCCTCAGTTTGACAGTCCAGAATCTCCAAGGTCAGGACTCCACTCGTGTTGGTGTAATGAATCTTATCGCTCTCTTGGAGTTCAATGCCATTGTGGTACCATCTGACCTCAGCAGTTGGCTTAGACTGAACATTTAAGATGAAGCGCGTATTTTGGCCACACGGCACCCTATGGGAGCGCATCCGCAGGGTGATTCGAGGGGCATGATCCAGGGTGAAAGGCTGCTGACTCAGAACTTCGTACTTCCTTTCTGATGTCTTCTGCGTCTTTAAGGCGGCTTTCATGGACTCGTACCTAGAGAAGATGTCAAACCTTGCAGACCTCTCGAATCTGGAGAGGGACCGCTCACTAGACACAGGGCTAGGAGAACGCGGGCGCGTCCTCTCTGGTGTGGGAGATCTTCTTTCTGTCTCATCTTCGTAGCCCTCAACAGGTTGTGGATGGGATCGGATCAGCTCGGACACTGGTCTCATTAACTCAATGTAAGTTGGAGACAAGGAGCGTCGTCGTCTCAGTAGTCTGGACACAGATGAAGACGATTCTCTTTGAGTCCGTCTTGAGAGTTCATATTCCTCTTCAATTTCTGTTATCTCTGTCACTTGCCTCTGTCGCTTTGATTTCTTTTTAGACTTTTCTTCTTTTGACATGTAGTCAAGCTCACTTTTGTATTCTGAGAGGCGCTGGGTGGTTGTCACTGGCCGCAGCAGCTCCTCTTCCTCCTTCTCGGCCATGATCCTCTGCCGTAGCTTCGGCTGCCTGTATGAGGCCTGGGCATGCCGTTCCCGCAGCTCTGCGTAACTGGTGCTGGTTTCCTCCTTTGTTGGGATGTGGTAGGTCGAGTACCGGAAGTCTCTTCTCCTGTCTTCCACTTTGACTTGAGCTGCAGGAGAAGAATACCGCAGGCTAGAAAGCTCAAAGCGCGGAGGGCTTCGGCTGGGGGGTGAAGCCGAGAAGCCCAGCTCCAGCTCCTCCTCGAGACGCAGCCTCTCTTCCTCTGTTCTTTTCATTGCCAGGTAGTCATCAATAGGGAGGAGTAGCTCCTCATCCGACATGTCACCCAGAGAGCGTCTCCTGCGTCTGTGGTAATAAACATCATAACCAGGAGACGGAGTACGTCGGCGGGCTGGCCTCACCATTTCCAGATCATCTTGGGATAGTTTGGGGATCCTCCATTTGGGTCGGTATTGATCTGTAATTCGGGGAAGAGGCGTCACGTAGAACTGCTCCCATCTTGAAAGGCGGATGCGCTTGGGTCTTTTCTGGACAACCCTGTCAATTTTCCCGGGCATTTCGTATTGATCCCGGATCTTCTTATACCACTTCATGTCAGACATAGGCACGAACTGCTTGATGCGTTGGTCTTCTTCTACTGTGGCTTGTTTGTGCCTGCGGGGCTCTGGGACTTCATAAGGCATGCGGAATTTTCTCTCCTCCTTCTTTTCCTCTGTCTGAAGTCGGTATTCTCCCTTGACCGTCTTGGTGCTCACCGCCGGTTTGTAAAGGATGGCAGCTTCTCTCAGAGCCTCTTGGGCTACGGGAGTCAGCGGCACGGTTTCCGTTCCAGAAAGAATCTCCGCCATCCTCAGTGTTTTGTCAATCTGTTTTTGGACGTGCCGCTCTCGTTCCTCCTTACTCTGGAATTCTTGCTTGACGTATCGCAACCGCTCCACTTGGAGGTGAGCCTGGCAGCTGGTGGATCCAGCTGTGTTTGTGGCTGTGACTCTGTAATACCCCGTGTCTTCAGGCAAAGTGTCCCTGATGTGCAAGGCATAGTAATCTAAGCCTTCATGGACAATTTCAATGTGGGGTCCGAGGGACAGTGGCTGACCATCCTTCTCCCATTTTAATGTTGGGGCGGGTATGCCCGACACTCTTATCTCAAAGCAGACGCTTTGGCCCTCCTGGCATTCGGCATTTGCCAGGAGCCGCTTGAACATGGGCCTGAGGTTGGTGTCTGTCGGAGGTGGGTGTAGAGTGACCGTCAGCTTTGCTTTGCAGCTGTCTTCGCCGTATTTGTTCCTGGCCACCACAGTGTATTCGGCGTCATCCTCTGTGGTGACGTTGTTGATCGTTAGCTGATAGAGACCCTTGTCAGACTCGAATGTGTATTTCTTTTCGTCCTCACCTGGCTTGATTTTCTGACCTGACTTATACCACGTCACGCGAGGTTCTGGGTGGACAGTTATAGTTACTCCAAACCGGACGCTCTCACCCACGTAGGCCGTCTTGTTATAGAGAGGCAGGGTAAATTCTGGTGGCCGTTCCAGGAGCCGCATGGCATCCGTCCTGCGCTTGACTTTCTTGGTCCTCCGGCAGTAGTAGTCATACACTTCCCTCACGCCTTTAACGAACAGCTCTGCATAGGAGCTGTCTTCACCGTAGTCGTTGACCACTTTGCATCTGTAGGTCCCGTCGTCGAATTTGGTGATGTCTTTGACGTACATGGTGGCCACTCCATCTTCATAGGTAATTTCATATTTCTCGCTGTTTTCCAGCTGTCTCACGCCAAAGTACCACGTCACCTGGGTAGACTGGTCATAGTTTTCGATTTTGCATACGTATTTGACATATCCCCCTTCCTCGCCAACGGCATGCATTATCTGCCCTGAGACGGGACCGATCTCGATGGAAGCCACTTTAACTTTGGCCACGCTCACTCCCCTCTGGGACCGAATTGCCCCACCACAGGAGATCCGGGCTGCTGACACAACCATATTGAGGTCCTTCTTTATCAGGGTATGGTAGTAGCGCCGGTGTTTCAGTGTCCTGATGACTTTAGTACTGACTCTGTCTATCTTTTGCTTCAGCCATGGGTGCTGCAGTGCCTCGGACGCAGTCATGCGAGATTTTCTCTCTTTTACCAACAGCCGGTCGACAAAATCCATGGCTTCCAGGCTAATGTCTTTGAATGCTTCTTCATCAAAAGTATATTCTGCATTCATGATGTTCTCAATCATCTGTTGGTTGGTTTCAGCCAAAAATGGGTTGATTCCGCTCAGCAGCACATACACCAGCGTACCCAGGGACCACATGTCTGTGGCAGTACTGACAACGTCATGCTGGTGGACTTCAGGGGCATAGTATTCAGGGGCTGTGAACAGAAGCCGGAAGTTGTCTCCTGGCTTTAGCTGACGCGCTTGACCAAATTCTATTAGTTTGATAGTGGAGTTCTTTCTTGTCTGATAAATGATATTTTCTGGTCGAATGTCAAAGTTGCCAATATTCTGACTGTGCAAGAACTCCAGCGCTTCGCAGACTTGGCGGACGTAGCTTACAATTTCTCTTTCATTCAGCTCAAAGGCGCTTGTGTTGATGCGTTCAAATATGTCGAGTCCTGATATAAATTCGAAGATCATAACCAGTTCTTCCATGCTTTCAAATGACTCGTGGAGGTATAAGATGTTTCTGTGCCTAGCAATGTTTAGAATGGAAATCTCTTTCTTGACCAAAACCTGATCAGTCCCTTTGACTTTAACGAATTTGGCCATGAATGTCTTCTTCGAGGATGTTTCAACACAGCGGTGGACAATTCCAAACTCACCACGTCCAAGGTCTTCAGCTATCATGTATTTCTCATAGAGCTCCTTAGTTTTAGAGTGCGATGCTTTCGTCATGGTGACCTCCCTGGTTTCATCCACCTCGTCATCGTAATTCATGGCTCTGGCCTTGTCTTCCTTGGTAACGGTTGGTTCTGAGGGCTCCGAAGGCTTGCTCAGGCCAAATTTATTTTCAGCTATCACTCGGAACTGATAACTCGTTTTTCCAAATAAGTTGATCACAGTATAACGTGTTTCTCGGGCCTGTCCCACGCGGAGCCATCTTTCTGCGGTAGTCGCGCATTTTTCAACAATGTAGTTGGTGACCTTGCTACCACCATCAGAAGCTGGCTCCGTCCAAGTTAAGTTGACAGAATCTCGCGAGACATCACTAACTTTGACGCCCCTGGGAGGGTCAGGAACGTCAGCCACATCTAGTTCAACTGTCTTTTGATCGATTCCAAACCTGTTTTTAGCGCAGACGACATAGAAGCCGGCATCTTTTCTCTCCACTCCGTTGGGGAAGACGAGTGAGGTGAAGGATCTCGTGACAATCACTTGGTAGTGGCCATTATTATCGATGAGGTCTTGTCCTTTCTGCCAGGTGATCACGGGATCTGGTTTGCCGCTGAAGGGAATCTTGATGCTGATCACGTCTCCTCGGAGAGCATGAACTGCTCCCATGCCTTCAAGGGTTTTGGGCAGGTGTATCTTCGCCGGAACTAAATCAAGGCAAAAGAATAAAGAACATGATTTAGTAAGACTTAATAATACTCTGCCCCACACAACTTTTTTAACAATAGCTTGTCTGACACCAAACTGGTGTCCATGAGTTTGTTTTTACCTTCCACTTCCAAGGAGGCGGTGCCAGACACGGATCCCCCTTGGTTGGTGGCTCTGACTTGGTAAACTGTGGCATCGTCGTCTGTGACGCTGGCAATGATGAGCTGGTGGTAACCCCCCTTAAACTCCTGAATTCTGTACTTGAGCCCATCGGCAATGATCTCTTTGCCTTGTCTGTACCATTTCACAATGGGCTTTGGATGACCGGTCACCTTGCAGACCAAAGTGGCATTGCTCTGATAGCGGACATTCAGGTTTCTCAGCTCCTCCTTGAAGTGTGGAGCCTGAATCGGGACGTCGGATTTCGGGGTGACCGGCTCTGAAATCTCGCTCCATTCGCTCTCTCCACCCAGGTTTTCACATTTGACGCGGAACTCATACTCAAGACCTTCAATAAGGTTTTGCACGGAGAAGACGGTTTCTCGGATTTCTTCCGTGGTCACCGCAATCCACTTGTTTTGCTTCTTCTCACGCTTCTCAAGGTAGTAGTTCCTGATCTTTGCACCTCCGTCGCTCGCGGGTGGCTTCCAAGCCACAACACAAGAATCCTTGGTGACAGCAGTGATGGTTGGTCTACCAGGAACACTCGGCTTTTCTGTTAAAAAATAGAAAGATTTGTCAGGTTTAAAACAGCTATTGTTTTAAATCCCATTTTAAATAATTCCTCCAATGTTCTGTGCAGCTACAATGAAGGGAATAGAATAGTATACACACGTTCGCCTTTAAGATATAGGAACATCCAATTCCAGTGAAAGAAAGACAGTAGACTTTACCCCTGGGTCTTCAGTTTCCTCTCCAACTTTATTTCTGCTCAAACGATTTAATGGGGACAAACTTTTACCACCCAGCTAGAAGAGCTAGAGGCCGGGTCGTGCTTACCAAATGGACTCTTGATGATCACAATGGAGGCCACCTCTAGTGGCTCACTGATGCCAAAGGTGTTCTGAGCTGAGACCCGGAAATAATAGCCGGCGTTTTCTGTGAGGTTCACAATTCTACAGGTTGTCACGGAGATGGCTGAAGACACCAATTGCCATTCAGCCCCTTCCTTGGCCTCACATTTCTCCACCACGTAATTGGTGATCCAGGAGCCGCCGTCATCAGCAGGCGGCTTCCAGCTGATGACCACAGAGTTCTTCAGGAGTGCCTCGATCACAATCGGTCCCGTGGGTTTGTCTGGTTTATCTGTTGAGAGAAGGCACATTGTAGTGGGTCTCACCGTGTGCTTCTTACTACCTTGGGAAAGAAAGTTATCAAAAGCAAGCGCTACGTACCTTGTATTTCCACATCCAGGGTTGCGTCAACTGTCCCAAAGGCATTGCTGAGCTGAACCTTGTATTTGCCAGCGTGGGCCTTACGTTGGACGTTCTTCATGACCAGATGGGTGTAGTGCTCAGTGTTTTCAATTGTAATGTTTTCTGAGTTCTGCAGAAGTTTCTGGCCATGGAACCACGTCATGGCAGGTACTGGGCGACCGATGTACATAACGTGGAGCCGAAGTGTAGAGCCCACCGCGCCGTAATACTTCTCTTTCAGTGGGTAACCGGGGTGGAACTGCGGGGCTGCTTGGAGAAGCAGCTTACTGCTGGTTTCCACTTCTCCAACTTCGTTTGTAGCCACGCAGGTGTAGACGCCTTCGTCTTCTTGTTCTTCCGTCATTACCGTCAGTGTATGCGTGCGCCCATCTGATGACATTTTGTACTTGCGGCTCTGGATGAGCTCTTTACCAAACCGGAACCATTTAATGTCAGGGAGGGGCCTTCCCACTATCTGGCATGAGAGCTGAGCAGCTTCGCCTAATTTGGTGGTCACATCGGCCATTTCTTTGCGCACTCCCGGGGCTTCTCCAGCTGCACATGGTGAAAGATGATGTGAAATGCATCATTACTACTGAATGTGTGATCTGTGCACATCAGCAACGGATCATCCTATTGATTAGCACTGTAATAGATGCTATGATGTACATCAATGGTTCCTATAAGCTAGTTTTCTAGGATAAGGTGGAAAGTGGGGGTTCAGCGAGCACATCATCCTATTGTATCATACTGGCACATTTTTTATACTGGTTGGGAGGGCATTAAGGGTGTATCATGAGGTTTGGAGGGAGTAAGAACTCTCGGGACAAGCTTACAGTTTTCTTGCCCCGATTTAGATTTAGGCACATGATGCATGCTTGTTAACCTAACAAAACCAAAAAGCTGATTGCATCAGAGGGAGAAACTGTTGCAGAAAAATGCCTAGTTTGTCCTCCCTAACATCTCCTGCTGGCATTTTGTAGCCAGGGTGGCTTCTGGTCAGATTGATCAGCTAATCCATATGTACCCATCAAAGTGCTCGATTTAACTCTATTCGCCAATAAAGGCTGTCAGTTTAGCTGGGAATAGACAGAGTTAGTTTCACCAGGTTCCGTTTCTAACAGAGAGCAGTAGGCTACTTACATGTTAGCTTAGTCTTTACAGACATAGCCGTTCTCCGGGGTCGGCTGAGCCCAGTCTCATTCTCGGCGAAGACTCTGAACTCGTACTCAGTAGCCTCTAGCAAACCCCCGATGGTGAACTGCCTGTCCTTGATCCGCTCCTTGTTACTCTTCTTCCAGGAACTGTCCCCGGACTGTCTATATTCCACCCAGTAGCCAAGGATTTCTTTGCCACCGTCACACTCAGGTTTCTCCCACTGGAGAGTGACACTGTCTTTGGATATCGAAAGAATCTCAAGTTCTCCTGGTTGGCTCGGCTTGTCTGAATAAGATAATTGAGAAAAGAATTAGATGTACTGGCAGTAAAAAAAAAAAAAAGGCAGGGACAAAAACTGACTTGCTTCTTTGGTTTTTCTTCCCCTTTGGAAACACTTTACTCACCAAAGGGATCTTTACAAACAACTGGCTCAGAAGCAGGGCTGGTCTCACTAAGGCCCACGTCGTTCTGTGCGATGATACGGAACTGATACTCGGCATCAGGAACGAGGCCGGTGACTGTGTACATGGTGGTGGTGATCTGGGTTTTGTTGTGTCTCACCCACTTGTCAGTGGATGTCTCCTTGCGTTCAATGTAGTAGCCTGTGACCCGAGATCCGCCGTCATCTTTAGGCCGAGACCAGGACAGGCTAACGGAACTTTTGGTGACATCAAGTACTTCAGGAGGATTGCTTGGTGGTTCCGGTGGATCTGTAAGTGCAAGTGAGAAGTAGACACGCTCAGAGTGCGATCTCAGATCTCGTGAGCTGTTGCTAGCTTTAAGAAATGGATGCCTACAAACCAACTTTTATAATGTAGTGGTTGAAAGATCACTTACTCAGTGGTGTTTTGGGTATGACTGGCTCCTCGGATTTCAGGGGTTTGCTTATGCCGAACTGGTTTTCTGCCGAGACACGGAAATGGTATTCCACATTCTCTTTGAGGCCTTTTACCACCAGAGATGTGCCTCGGACTCTGGAGTCAATGGTATACCAGGCGGCCTTTGGTACCTCCCTTCTCTCAAGGATGTAGCCCAAGATGTCAGCGCCACCGTCATCAGCGGGAGGTCTCCAGCTGACCCTTACAGAGCGAGCTTGTATGTCATCATACTCCAGTGGCCCTTCTGGGGTGTTGGGGCTGCCTATCACCTTGACCTTGATGTACACGGTCTTCTTGCCACATTTGTTCTCCAGAACCAAGTCATACGTTCCAGAATCATCTCTGTCTGCTTCTTTGATCACAAGCTCAGTGTGTGTTTCAGATGTTGCAATCATGGCACGCTTGCTAATATCTTGACCTTCCTTGGTCCATTTACATATTGGGAATGGTTTTCCTTTAATTGGTATGGTAAGTCTGATGACTCCACCTTGTCGAACAAAGACACCTTCCTGGTATCTTTCATCAAGTTCATAGTCAGGGTATTCTGAGGAAAAACAAAGGATGACAATTTAATTTTTTTTTCTAAATTGAGGAGTAGGAACAAGTTATAAGGCATTCACAGCAGCAAGTAAACACTCAAGTATCTTACCAAGCATCTCTGTGACTTTGACTGTTCCTGGTACCTCAGCAGGTTCCCCAGGTCCGCCAGCGTTACAAGCTAGGACACGGAATCTATATTCAGCGCCCTGAGGTAGGTGTGTTAGGGTGTATTCCCGAATCTTGGTTGGGGTGGTGTTACATTTGGTCCATTCGCGTTGATCGACTTTTTGCATTTCAATCAAGTATCCCGTGACTTTAGATCCGCCTTCATCTTCTGGAACACTCCAGGCCAGGGAGACTGATGTCCTTGTTGTATCTGTAACTCTGGGATTTTGTGGCTTTCCTGGTGGAGCTGGGAAGAGCAAGGATAAGGAGTGTACTTGTTAGATTTGCTGCAAGCTGACAGATAACTGTGTCGTCTAACAAATACAGTGTGTGGTTGAAATACAGCCTGCTAGCAATTTTATTTTCCACGTTTTTTTTGTATTCTATATTCTGTAGCTTTGTTGTAGTGGTAATTCCAAATCTGTTTTCCTCAGAACTCATAGAACTCCATACTTCAGAAAATTGAGTTCCAACACATAAAATCCTATCTCAATAAACATGGCTTATACAAAATATATTTACCGATTGGATCCATGGCAACGATGGGTTTGGAAGGACGACTTGGCTTTCCAGTCCCTCTTGCATTAATAGCTGTAATACGGTGCTCATATTCTAAGCCTTCAATTAGGCCAGTGGAGCGGTACCTTGTCATGGTCACCGGTACTTTATTGACACGGACCCATCGGTCCGCCCTTACTTCTTTACGCTCCACAATATAGCCGGTCACTTGGGAGCCACCGTCATCCTCAGGTGGATACCAAGTAAGTGTCATGCCATCACGGGAGACGTCAAATATCTGTAATGTCTCTGGAGGTCCAGGAATACCTGTAGCAAGACAGAGAAAAAATGAAATATGACAACATGAACAAAGAAATCCTGTTTATCTGTATTATAGTTTTAGTTGGTATTTTAGGTGGTAGGAAAGGCAAATGACCATTTCCACAGTGCCTTCACTTTTGTGGGTTTTTTGTTTTTCCATTTTTGCTGTATCTTCTTTTCTTCAATCTTATAACTATTAGGCATATATTTTATGCTTTCTCCTGTATGTTTATCTCTAGTTCCTCCCTTGCTTGTGTTTTCTCTTCCTCTCTTTTTTCTCAGTCTCCTTTTGCTTTTCGACTTCGTCAACCAAGTAAAGAAGCTCAGAAAATCTACCTCTGTTGAAAGCTGCCAAGCAAGGCTGCTAAGAAGCCTTAGGAAAACCCAGAGGCCAATTTTACAGGTTGTTTTTCTTCACACTGGGACTAAATTCAGAGTCAGATACAGGGGAAGTGCTGGAAGAACTTACTGATGCTGCTTCGGCATTCTATGACCTCCGATTGCAGGTAAGAGCCAATCCCGAAGCGGTTTGTTGCTGCCACCCGGAACACATATTCATTGCCTTCCGTGAGTCTGGTGAACTTAAATGTTGGTCTTGTGACTGACTCAGAAACTGGCAGCCACCCCGGACGATGAGCATCACGTTGCTCCACCACATAGCCACTGAGAGGGGCGCCACCGTCCAATTCGGGCGGTTCCCAGGATATGGTCACTGACGTTGCGTCGATTTCATCAATCTTGATGGGCCCAGTTGGTGGACCAGGCTTGTCTGTGAAAGACAGAGAAACCGGGAGAGGAATTTTTTACTTCAAATCAAAATCGGTGGCTAACCATCAACAACTGAATTGTGACTTTGTCGTTCCTACTTACCAAGAATGATAACTTTGATGGTCTCTGAGGTGGTTCCAGTAACGTTCTTCAGTTCGAGCGTGTATTCTCCAGTATCTCTTATAGTTGTCTCACGGATGGTTAACTTGGCGACTTTAGTGTGGGTTTCGACTGTGACACGCTCTGATTCTCTCAGTTTAGAGCCAGCAAAGAACCAAGAAGCCGTAGGAGGTGGGCGGCCGGCAATAGGTATCACCAGCTCAACGGGTCTGCCGGCTGGCACGTGGATGGTCTTCTGAGGCATCGTGGAAAGATCGATTGTTGGCAACACTGTGAGGGAGAAATTAGGCATGTAGTTTTACATATGATTTCTGAAGATGAAGTGTCTCCACTCCTCAATGTTTTCATTTGTTTTACTATTATGTGAGCATTTGGTACCTACCTCTCAGGTCTTGTACGGTCACAGCTGTGACGATCTCCCTTGGTTCTGACACACCTTTCTGATTCTGTGCCCTCACCCTAAACAAGTACTGTTCGCCTTCGTTTAAGGAAATGACAGTGTGCTCTAAGACCGTGGGTTTCAAAGTGACCACTTTCATCCACCTCTCAGTCCCAGCTTTGCAGGCCTCGAGCACGTAGCCAGTGAGTCGGCTCCCACCATCGTAGAGTGGTTTCTCCCAGGCCAGGGTGACAGTGGATTTGGTGACATCGACCACTTCTAGTTTTGTGGGCACCAAGGGTACCTCTGAGATCAGCACGGCGTCTGATGTCTCACAAGGCTCTCCGATGCCATAGATGTTTTCTGGAAGCACTCTGAAGTAGTACATGGTTCCTTCTACCAGGCCGGAGATTCGGTAAAGAGTCTTGCCGCACTTAGTGGTTACTGTTTTGAATGCTCTCATGGCAGCTTCTCGCTTCTCAATGATGTAATTGCTGACGGGAGCACCACCATCGATGGTGGGGATTTCCCAAGTGATGGTCACAGAATCTCTGGAAACTTCCTTAACGCTCACTGAAGGACAGGGACCGGGTGTATCTAAAATAACAAACAGATTAGAAGGAAAGAGTCAAGTCATAGTTATTCTTCATTGTTTGTTGTAGGAAAATATAATCAATGTAGGTATCCTCTAGTGAGGCGATCAACAATATGCCAAAGATGTACTGTTTTGTGGTCTCTACTCGGAGCTCAGCTCAACATAAGAAAACCACTTACCATAGACTTTAACAAGGATGGTTGCTGATTTCTTGCCAGATTGGTTTTCAGCTTCAATTGTGTACTTTCCAGCATCATACCGATTAACTTTGTCCACGATGAGTAAAGAGTAGCTCTCCGTGTTGTCAATGATGGCCCGGTTTGCAAGGTCAATGCCTTTCTTGCTCCACGTGATGACAGGAGATGGTCTCCCCGATACAGACACCATCAGGCGCAGTGTGGTTCCAGCCCTGAGAGTCACGGTCTTCTTCAGATCATCCGCAAGCTCCAGATCTGGTATTTCTGGGAAGTCAATACCAAAATGTAATTAATTCGCGGCCAGACAAAATGAGCGGGCAATTCCTGTCCAAGCGTCTGCGTTCCTTACCTAGTCTTTCCACGGGCTCAATTTCGGCAATGGCTTCACTGTACTCGCTCACACCCTTCACGTTCACGGCAGCAACCCGGAAGGAGTATTTCTGGCCTGTTTTAAGGTCTGGCACAGTGAATTCGTTGTTCCTGATTGTGGCATTTGTATGCACCCGGCACCACTGGTCAGTGTCCTTCTCTTGCATTTCCAGGACGTATCCTATGATGTCAGCACCACCATCATACATGGGTTTGGTCCATGCCAAACTAATACTACGCTTGGTGGTATCTACAACTCTTGGAGCGGAAGGTGGTCCAGGGGTATCTGAAATTTAAAAGTGAGATTATAGGCATTGCACAAACAAGGACGATTTTGAAATTACAATTGTGTTTTGAAGATTCACAGAGGTGTTCAGGGCTTACCAAGTCCCTCTTTGTAACAGGATTTTAATTTTTTGAGTGCTCTAGGACAACCCTTAAGATGCATTATCACTAATTATTTCAAGACGTAGATTACTCTGGCAGTACATCTGTTTCTTTCTCTCACTTTGGCTAACAATAGTGGTATATTCTCTCTTAACTCAGCTTGTTCCCCAGGACTTTTCCTCAGTTGCTCTTCTTTCCCTGGGTTAACATCACATGTCCCCTCTATATTTCTAATGAATGCAGGAATCTGGTTCTGTCTTTTCCCTCTTCAGTCCCAGGGACCAACTCCTTTTAGCTCTTGGGCTCACATGCTGTAAAAGCCTGTGTGCTATTTTTGAAGATCATATAATAATGGTTTTGTTAGTATCATCATATAAGGGACTTTATTCTCCCCTAAGCCTCTTCTCAAAAGGGACTTTGCTATTTTCCTTCTCAGTGCTTATCAGTAGAACTTACTTTTCCACTCTCCTCCGAGTCTTACAGTATATCTCTTTCATACTGGTAATAGAACAACCTGTTGCTTTTGATAAACCAGACAAATACTGCAACAGTGTTCAGCAAGGCTATTACCACTAATTAAATAAAGTTAAAATGGTATATATCTATCTCAAGATTGTAGTAGTAAGAAAATCTCTACTAGGTGTATGCTTTTCATAATTCTGAGGTGCCCAGAGATACGGCATTGGAAAATATCTGCCGTCCGGTTTTGGTTGGCATTGGGTTAACTAACTGCGTCTAGCACTCACATGATGGCTCTCTGCAGCGGATGAAGTTGGAGGCTTCGCTGGGTTCGCTGTTGCCAGCAGCGTTCACTGCCGTCACCCGGAACTGATAATCACAACCTTCCATCAGGCTGGTCACCTTCAGCCTGGTGTCATACACCACGTAGTCTTTGTTGACACGTGTCCAGCGCAAGCTCTTCTTCTCACGCTTGTCTACCAGGTAGTTGCTGATCTCATTGCCACCGTCAGATTCGGGTTTTGTCCACTGAATAATGATGTGCTCTTTGCCAGCCCCCACCTCTTCGGGTATGCCAGGCTGGGATGGAATCGCTGTTTGTGTTTAATGCAAATAAAGATGTTCAGAACTGTGCACAATCACTGTGGGCATGACCACCCTTCTTCATCGATCCATTAACATTTTAATCACCAAAGTGTTTTAAGAAGTTAATACTCACTGAAAGAATTTCTGGCCACAATCGGCTCCGATTCCACTGGCACACCCAGGCCGTATTTGTTCACTGCCCTCACGCGGAACGTGTATTCGTTGTTCTTGATGAGTCTGGTGACCACGTAGGATAGAGTCAGGCATTCCCCTTCAACTATCACCCAGTTGAGCCTGCTAGTCTCACGTCTCTCTACAATGTAGTGGGTTATCTCTGCTCCTCCATCTTCCTGAGGAAGGCTCCAGGCTAATGTACACTTCTCCTCGGTGACTCTGCTGACCGTGAGTTTGCCACATGGGCCAGGGGAATCTGAAACAGGCAGGGGGACAGGTCATGACGAACAGCACCCTTCAAAGTTCTGTAACATCAGAAAGAAGTACATCTGATATACGCACCGAGAACCTTGACCATGACGGACACAGACTTGGTCCCACTGGCATTCTTCACCGTCAGCGTGTATTTTCCACTGTCGCTTCTGTCGCAATATTTGATGACCGCCATCGCCCGCTTGCCCGTGTACTGTAGAGACACCTTTTCACAGAGATCTAGTTCCTTGTCCCCTTTGGTCCAGATGATTTTGGGTTCGGGTTTGCCACCGACGGCAGCATCCAGAACAAGATCTGAACCTGCTCTGATGGTCACCAGCTCACCTTGTAACCTGGCGTCTAATTCAGCTTTGGGTGGAGCTGTTAATAGGAATAGATAGGAATGAGTGACTGATGGCTCAGAGATCCACTTACGTGCCGAAAGATCAAAGGGAAATGTGACCTGTTTCTTACCATATTCATCTCTGCAAGTGACAGGGCCCGTGGATTCAGAGCCCTTGCTGATTACACCTGCTGCGTTCTTGGCCAAGACACGGAATTCATAAGTGTCCCCTTCACTGAGAGCGGTCACCGTGAAGAAGTTATCAGAGACAATGGTATAGTTACACTTCAGCCAGCGACCATCTCCGACTTCACTGACTGGCTTCCGTTCTACGATGTAGCCCACAACCTTGCTGCCTCCGTCATACACCGGGGCCGACCAGATTAGAGACACTGTTGACCTGGTGACATCCGTTACTTCTGGTCTACCAGGGGGATCTAGAAGGGATACAAAATCAGGTTAAAAATACAGCTGAGTTCCAATACCAGGAATGGTAACAAATACGCCTTTAGAACTGTGTACGCACCAACTGGGTTCTGAGCCATGATGGGTCTTGAGGCTTCACTGGCCTTGCTGACACCCGCTGCATTGAGTGCGTATGTTCTGAACTGATACTCCAGCCCTTCTACCAAGCCCGTCACTTTGTAGTTACACTCTAAGCACGGTACTTTGTTTTCCTTCACCCAAAGGATGGTGTTACGCTCTTTCTTCTCAACCCAGTAGCCAATGATCTTACTGCCACCATCGTGGTAAGGTTCTTCCCAGCGAATTGACATGGCATTGGCAGACACATAGTAGACTTCAGGTCTGGTCGGAGCACTTGGTGGAACTAAATAAAGACAGAAATATGTAAGAACAGGGTTTTGTAAAATTCAGTGGAAATACTTAAAAATATTTTAAACAGACTATGAAATTTGGTTTTTATTTTTCTTACCAAATGGATGTTCAGCAACAATTGGTGCTGTTTCCAGAGGCTTGCTGACCCCAAATCTGTTCTCTGAACTGACACGGAAGCAATATTCTTTGTATTTTGTGAGGTGCGTGACTTTGATCTGAGTGCGCTTCACACTGGAGTTAATAAGCTGCCAGGCTGTGGTACCTGACTCGCGCTTTTCAACTATGTAGTTAGTGATGTCTGTGCCTCCATCGTCTTTGGGTTCGGTCCATGATAGTACACAGGATTCAGCAGAGACAGATGAGACCTCGATGGGACCAGTTACTGGCCCTGGTCTTCCAATAACCACAACGGTGATGGTAAACGTTTTAACACCAGCTGTGTTTTCTAGAGTCAGGAAGTACCTGCCAGAGTCGCCTCTCATGCTGTCCTTGACTGTCAGGGTGGTCCTGTCTTTTGTGGTTGTGATGCTCATCCGATCTGTCTCCTTGAGTCTCATTTCTTCTAGTTTCCATGTTACTTTGGGGGCGGGACGCCCACTGATTGGCACGTCAATGGTAAATGTGCTTCCAGCCTTGCAGGTTATGAGCTGATTGGTGATTCCGGTGAGATCGGCAGTGGGCTCAATTTGAGGCTCCTTGATGATGACAGATGAGAAGGCTTCTCTGGGTTCACTGTAGCCAGCGTCGTTCTTGGCTTTCACCCGGAATTCATATTCAGTGTTCTCAACGAGGCGCTCCACTGTGAAAGTCAGCTGTTTGGTGTGACCAGCTTCAACCCAGAAGTCGGATCCCTTCTGCCTCATCTCAAGCAGGTAGCTAGTGATCCGACTGCCTCCGTCATGGTCAGGTTTAAGCCAGGCCAAGACTGCAGACGATTTGCTAGTGTCCACCACATCGAGTCTCCTGGGCGGGGCAGGCTGTTCTGTGGCGACAATTGGTTCTTGCATTTCATAGGGTTCACCGACGCCATACTCATTCTCAGCGGAAACACGGAAATAGTACGGAACACCTTCTGTCAGGTCGCTGACCTTGAGGATCTGGCGAGTGCACTTTTCACTGACGACCTGCCAGCTGCGGCGACTGGCTTCTCGTTTCTCCACCACATAGTGATGGATGCGGGCACCACCGTCAAGGAGAGGGGCATCCCACATCAGTGTGGCAGATCCCCGGGTCACATCTTTGAAGGAAATTGGACCAGGTGGTCCTGGAGAGTCGAGCACCTTCACAGTGAACGTTATTGACTTTCTACCACTGTTGTTTTCCACAGTGAGCGTGTATTTCCCTGCATCGTTTCTGTTGCAGTTTTCCACGGTGAGGGTGCTGAAGGAGTCTGTTGTGTGGATATCAGCCCGAATGCTCAGGTTCGAGTCAGGCTTGCTCCACACCGCTGTAGGAGTAGGTCTCCCCAGGTAGGCGATGAAGAGGCGAATGCTGGCGCCCGCTCTGACAATATGAGTCTGCTTGAAGTTGGCGTCAATGTCTAACTCAGGAGCAGATAACCGATCAACGGCTTTTATAGTACCGGTCACCTCGCAGCTGTCTCCTTTCCCGGCACCGTTGATAGCGCTGACCCGGAATTTGTATTCTTCACCTGCTTCGAGATCAGTGACTGTGTATCTTGTTTTCACGCAGGGCTCTGTGTTTACTTTCTGCCAGTCCCCTAAGTCAGCTTTGCACATCTCTATTATGTACCCAATTATTTCCATCCCACCGTCAAAGACCGGCTTGGCCCATTCTAAGCTCACGGTTGTCTTGGATGTGTCCGTCACTTTGACCACCGCGGGGGCACTTGGCGGGTTAACAGGCTCTCGGCATTTGATCAGTCTTGAGATTCCACTTGCTGGCCCAATCCCAGCCGCGTTCTCAGCCATGACATGGAATTCATACTCGTTGCCTTCCACCAGGCCAGTGACTTTGAATCTTGTCTCAGAAATGGGTCGTTTGCTGATCACTTTCACCCATCTTGTGCTTTTCTTTTCTCGTCTTTCAAGGATGTAGTGTTGAATCTCATTGCCGCCATCTGATTCTGGCCTTGTCCAAGTCAGGGTGATGCTATTGCCTGTTACATTGCTAGGTTCAGGAATTCCAGGGGCATCCGGAACAGCTATAAAAGGGGGAAATCAGTTAGATTCATTTGCTTAGAAAGTTCATCTTATGTCATGACACCATTTAGTAGAACCGCAAACTTACTGTATTGTATTTGGGCAACCACAGGGTCAGACTCCAGTGGCCGGCCAACACCAAACTTGTTAACGGCAGAAACGCGGAACTGATATTCATTGCCGGTTATGAGTTTAACGGCGGTGTAGCTGTGGGCTTCACAGTTGTCCTCAATCAATGCCCAGGCCAGTCTGCTGGTTTCCCGTTTTTCAATGATGTAGTGGGTGACAGGGGCACAGCCGTCATTGAGTGGGGCATCCCACCACAAGGTCATCTTCTCACCAGTAATATTCGTGAATCGTATTGGCCCAACGACTTTTCCTGGTGTATCTGGAAGAAAACGTTTTAAGAATCACTTGCTGTTTGTCTTGTCCACTGAAGTATAATTAGCCATCTCCCTAACCCAAGTCCCGTAAATCATCTTGAACTATTTTAAAATACCTTGCACTTTCACTGTAATTTCTGCTTTTGTGGTACCAGATACATTTTTGGCTTCCACTGTATAAACACCACGATGATCTCGAGTTGCGTCTCTAACAAAGAGGCTGGTTGAGCCGAGAACATCAGTTATTTCCATGTTCATTCTCCTCTCAATTTCAACTCCATCTCTGAACCAAGTTACTCGTGGTACTGGTCGCCCATGGACCAAAGCTTTGATTCTAAGGCTGTCTCCAGACTTAATAACAAGACCGTCGAAGTACTCGGGGCCAAACTCTACTGTTGGTGGAACTGTAAAAGAGAGGAGAAATTGCTTATTAATTTGGTTTAATAAAGACATACACAAACATAGTTTTCATTAGGACCATATCATAAAGCCTAGGAAGGTAATCATTCCCCTGCCACCAAAGGCCATTTTGAAAGTAAGGCTAGTGATTGAGAGTTTAGACTGCAGGATTAAACATTTCTCTGCTGTTAAATTATTCCCATTGTTACTCCTGACTTGTTACTTTGTTACTCTTTGCCCTTTGTCAAAGGAGAACTGCCATGCTTGCTAGCTAGCCAGTCTTTACTTCCTGATAGCATCACAAATCCAAGCAAGTTCCTGGGAGAGGCCATTAGCACACAAGCAGGTAATGATTTTATAGCTTCAGATATTTTGCATTTGAATAACTAGTAGAGAAAGAGAGCTATTCCTGGGAACCATTTCCTTTACTCCAAATGGCCAAAAGTCCAAGCCTAAAACCTCACTTCCACATGCTTGATATTTACAAGGGAATGGTGTAAAATGATAGACACTGGGAAATAACTGATATCAAAAAGGACTTAATTTTGCCAGGTGGTGGTGGTGCACGCCTTTAATCCCAGCACTTGAGAGGCAGAAGCAGGTGGATCTTTGTGAGTTCGAGGCCAACCTGGTCTACAAAGTGAGTTCCAGGACAGCCAGGACTGTTTCGCAGAGAAGCCCTGTCTCACTTCCTGCCCAAAGAGACTTAATTTATCCACTGTTGTGGGATAATCTTTTTATACACTGTGATGGTGTGTTTCTGCCAAGGTGCTTTCTGATTGGTTTAATAAACAGCTAAATGGTCACTAGCTGGCAGGAGGAGGATAGATGGGATTTTCTGGAAGACAGAGGAAGAGGAGCAGGAATCTAGGCACATGGATTTCGCCAGTACTGGGAGCCAGTTGGACATGCCTTAGCGAAGAAAGGTAAAAGCCATGTGACAAAATGAAGATTAATAAAAGCAGGTCCATTGAGCTTTAATATCTAGTTGGGGAAAAGCCTAAGCCAAATCCCAAGCTTTCATAATTAACATTGTCTCCATGTCATTATCGAGGAGCTGGTGGTCCCACAAAGGAAGGTCCAACTACATTTGAGAAAGCCCACTACAATCCACATGGCAGTCTTAGCTAACCTATAGAAAAAGACCTCTGTCCCCTTCTACAGTCCGGAAGCCAAAAACATTCTTTAGAAATGTGAATACCCCTTTCTCACAATGGAAATCAGTTGGCAATGCTTACCGTTCTCATCTCTTGTCATGATGAGGCCGGAAGACTGTGAGGGTGGGCTTATGGTTCCGACCGCATTCCTTGCGATTATCCTGAACTCATACCGATCCCCGGGACTGAGTCCGGTGACGGTGTACTGACATTCACTGACGTCCGTGAAGTTGCATCGGACCCAACGATCATTTCCTTGCCGTTTCTCAATGCTGTAGGCCACTATCTTGCTTCCCCCGTCACGCAACGGTGGGTTCCACTTAAGTGTGATGGTCTCCCGGGTGACATCGATGTAATCAGGAGTGCCGGGTGGGTCTGAAAAAATTGCAGGGAGGTTAAACACGCCACTATATCTGTAATCATCTTTTAATTGCCAAGAAAGTAAAACAACATGGATAAACCTTGCAGGAACACTTGCACTACTAATTTCAACTTTCTGCTTCATGGTCTAAATTACTTTATTAGACTGAGTTAAAACCATCCCTCTAGCTTGACATGACAAGAAGGTAGAGCCTAGAGGGTGACTTCTGAAAGAGAAGCAGTGTTTAATGTATATATTGCCAATATATTTGGTTGCTAGAGTAAATATATTTAAATAACAGCCACTTACCTACTGGAGAAACAGCTAATGTAAACTTGCTTGGGTCACTAGGTGAGCTTAGGCCAGCCGAATTCTCAGCATATACACGGAATTGGTAGTCCAGTCCTTCTATTAAGCCAGTAGCTCTGTATTCTCTCCCAGATATTGGTGATGTGTTAACCCTTTGCCAGAGGATGCTGTTTCTTTCTTTCCTTTCAACATGGAATCCAGTCACTTCTGAACCACCATCATAAACTGGCGCATCCCAAGTTAGTGACATGCCATCTGAGGTCACGTTGTATATCACTGGCTTTCCTGGGGGGCCAGGAATCCTGAACTGGTGTTTTGCCACGATAAGATTTGAGACGAGTGGTTCGCTCACTCCGTATCTGTTTTCTGCTCTAACCCTGAACTGGTATTCAGAATCTTTGACCAGATTGGAAGCTTTGAAAGTCGTCCTGGCAACGCTTGAACACACCATCTTCCAGTTAGTTTGCGAAGCTTCCCGCCTTTCAATGCTGTAGCAGGTGATTTCTCCTCCTCCGTCATCTTCCGGGATATCCCATGACATGATGGCACTGTCAGCCTTGATTTCATCGAATCGAATGGGTCCTTTGGGCTTGGATGGCGGGCCAAGGGTAATGATTGTAATGGGGAAGGAGTTTCTGCATACTGCATTGTCAAGAATAACGGTGTATTTCCCTCCGTGCTCCTTCTTTACATTCTTAATGCTCAAGGTAATTTTGTTTTCTGTTTTACTGAAGCGAACATACTCACTTTCTTTCAGTGGCAAACCATCTTTCAGCCAACTGATGGATGGCTTGGGTTTTCCTTTGTAAGGTAATTCAAGATGTACATTATGTCCAATTCTCACAGATATCTGTGCCCCGGGGATTTCTGACAAGTCAACTTCAGGTGTTATCACCAGCTCTTTCACTGTGAGTGGCCCAATAGTGACAGGGTCGCTCTGTCCTTTCTCATTTCTGGCGGCCACTCGGAATTCCAAGACCGACTGCTCTTTAAGTTGTCCAATCTCGATTTCGCAGGTCTTACTAATGCCAGCGTGTGACCAGGCCTGTTCACCTTTTCCTTTCCTTTCCACAACGTAGTCTGTGATGATGCTCCCACCGTCAAAGTCAGGCTTGGTCCAGCTGAGGACAACGGATGTCTTTGTAGAATCTTTCATTGAGAGATCACGGATAGGTGCTGGTACCTCGGCAGCTTTTACAGGCTCTGTAGTCTCACAGGGCTCACCGATTCCAATTTCATTTTCTGCAAGAACTCGGAAGAAGAACGGAGTTTTCTCTGATAAGTCTGTTACCTTAAAGGCTGTGCCGGAACACTTGTGGGACACGACGGACCACGTTCTCTTTGTGGCATCTCTCTTCTCAATGACGTAGTTAATGACGGGAGACCCTCCATCAATGAGAGGAGGATCCCATAGCAACGTGGCTGTGCCTAGGGAAACATGTTTCACCTGTAGCTTCTGGCAGGCCGCTGGTGTATCGAGTACTTTCACGCTCACAGTGGAAGACTTGGGTTGGCCCACTCCGTTTTCTATTGTCAGGGTGTATTTCCCTGTGTCGTTGCGAGTGACTTGAGGGATGACGAGTAAGGAAGATGAATCAGTGTTTTGGATGTTGTATCTGGCATCACTGCCAAGATTCTTCTCGTCTTTCCTCCAGGTGACAGTAGGGGGCGGTCTGCCTTTAAAGGGCATCAATATCTGTACATCTTCCCCAGCTTTAGCGATAACGGATGTTCTGAGAGCCACGTCTAGGTCAATTTCTGGTTCCTCTGTAGACAGAAAATGGACATTTACAGTGATTTTTAAAAGACAATGAGTCTTTGCCTGGAACTCTTAGTAAGACACACAACATCACCAAAGTGGATGTACGTACCAAGGATGTCTTTAGCCTGGACAGGCTCAGTCATTGTGATGGGTTCTCCTTGGCCAGCACAGTTTACCGCTGATACTTGGAAATAGTAATCGACTCCAGGCTTGAGGTTAGAGACCACATATTCTGTCGTTCTGACCTCTCCCCTGGTGGAGACAATAGCCCATTCCTCCTCCTCTCCTTGTCTCATCTCAACAACATAGCCAGTGACGTCGCTGCCCCCGTCGTAGACAGGTTTACTCCAGCCAAGAGTGATGGATGATTTAGTTGAATCTGCAATTCTTATCTTGGCAGGGGGGCCTGGAGGATCTGGAATGGTCAATTACAATGTAGCATTACACAATCACATCTACAATTCCGTCACACAGAAGACAGCCAGAGATGTGTGTATGTGAGAGCTTACCAATAGGATCAGCAGCCTTGTAGAAGTCAGAGGGTTCTGAGAATGGACCCATTCCAGCGGCGTTGACAGCACAGACTCGATATTGATAGTCACTGTTTTCAGTGAGTCCTGTCACCTTTTGTCTGGTGTCACGAATAGTCTCCTTTAGTACTTTAAGCCAGGCCAGACTCTTCTTGTCTCGTTTTTCAAGGAAATAGCCGTTTATTTCACTACCACCATCTACAGTTGGCCTGTTCCAGACAACAGTCATAGAATTCTTGGTCATCTTTGTCACTTCTGGTATGCTTGGCGGTCCAGGTGTAACTAGGAAGGAGAGAACAGATGAGTTGAAAGGTTCAACAGGTTCAACTTTCTCATTTTTAAATTCCGTCTAATATCAGTTTGGTAACGACAGTGTCTGTCTTGTGGAGAGGGCAGTAATGAGACAAGCAGAGATGCAAAAGAAAGTCTTTCCAGGAAAGCATACACAAGCCCTCAGAATAGCTTATATCTGCAAGTGTATTTTGCATGCCTTTTAGTTTTCTAATGAGGCTACGGCTCACCAAAAGCATTCTTGGCTACAACCGGATCAGATTCCAGAGGCTCGCCAATTCCGTATTTGTTCACAGCCCGGACTCGGAAGATGTACTCGTTCCCTTTAATAATTTTGGTAGTTGTAATGATGCACTCCTCCAGGTTTTCAGCCACCATAGACCACACGACTCGGCTTGTTTCACGTTTTTCCACGATGTAGTGAGTGATCTTGGCACCGCCGTCATCAGCTGGAGGCCTCCAGAGCAGAGTTATCTTTTCGGCAGTGACCGTCTTAAACTCAATTGGTCCTCCCGGAGGTCCTGGTTTATCTGCCAGGGAAAGATGAAAACAACGTGAGGGCCTTTAAAAAAACCCGAGTGGCTCTGAATTACTACACTCTAGGTAAACAAAACGCATCATTGCCCATGTTAAAGCACCTACCGAGGATCTGTACTCTGATGGTGGCGGAGGCGGAACCCATGGCATTCCTTAGCTTTAATTCGTAGCTTCCACTATTGAGGCGGTTGGCATCTTTGATGAGTATGGATGCCAGGTCAGTGCTATTTTCAACACATACCAGTGCATTGGTTTGTAATTCTTTATCGTCTTTGTACCACTCAATCGTGGGCTCGGGTTTGCCTGAAATACCAGCTCTGAGCCTCACAGATGTGCCTGCTCTGTATTTGACAACTTCTGTATACTCTAGAGGCAAGTCAATAACAGGCCCACCTGCAAGAAAAAAAAGAGGAAGAAACAGTTGAAATTTTACCAGGATGAAAAATGTAGTTGCGGAAACTTCAAAATAGGCCGCTGACCGTCTGCTAATTGTTTGCACATGTGTTGTATGTGCGATATGCAGGTCTAAGCCCACTCACGTCATGGGGAAGACAGACTGAACAGACTCTGGATCTCAGGGTATCTACACTAAACTGCATGAAAACAGGATCAGGGTTGAGACCATTATGGAAGAAATAGCACCACACATTTTCTTTGACTCTAGACTCTTTCCTTTACTTCTGATCGCTTCTCATTTGTCTTCTTTTCCACCATCCGGATGTGAGCAGTTCATGTTCTTCTTGAAGCTTGACTTCTCTACTCCCAGAGCTATAGCTCCCCTGAACAGATGCTCCACCAAGCTACTCATGATTGTTGAGATATAAAACTAAGTTTGACTGGCCTTACAGTGCCACAAATCCTGACTAGTAAAGGGTGGCCCTGGGACTTCCAGCAAGAGGAAGCGAGTAGATCCTTTTGATCAGACATGAAGAAGCTAAACTTGCATTTTTGGAAACGGAAAGCTATTACAAGGTACCACAGGGTACTTGACTGTCATGAAATTCTCATTTCTAAGCCATTATTAGTTGAATGCCACTTAGTTGAGAATGGCCATTATTAGTTGAATGCCACTTAGTTGAGAATGGCCAGTTATATTTTGATCTGACGGTAAGATAGAGAGGGCCCCAAAGAGGGTTGCTCATCACTGTTGAGTTGTTTGACCTTGGGGGAATTTACATAAATATTTTAAGCCTTAGGCTTTTTTTCCCCCCAAGACATGATTTCTCTTTGTAGCCCTGGCTGCTCTGGAACTCATCCTGTAGACCAGGCTGGTCTCGAACTTAGAGATCCACCTGCCTCTGCCTCCCAAGTGCTGAGATTAAAGGCATGTGCCACCACTGCCCAGCTTTAGGCTCCCTTTTGTAAAGTGGATTAATCTGTGTTTTTAATCTATGGGAGTGAATTCTTCACAGAGGAAGGGCTCTCATGGAAACTGCCCAGTCAGGGGTAGGAGCTGCTAATACCATCATTATTTAAGACTCTGTGTGTGCTTTCATGAACTTAGGAGAAATATGCAGTGCTGATGTGAGTTAACCTGAGAGTTATTGAGTCTGATCGCTTCAAATAGAATGAAAGCACCAATTCAGACAACCAAAAAAAAAAAAAAATCCTAAAAGTTTGAAAGACCTTTAGATATCCTATAATCAAAATCTTATCATTTTTCCTGAAACCAAGGTGGGGGGTATGAAGTGGTTGAAGAATATATTCCTAAGTATTCCAGCTGGTCTGTACTTACTCCCACAATCTATTTAAGACACATGTTAAAAGTCATTACAGAAAACAGTGGGTGAAAACCGCTTACCGTAGGAGTCAATGCATGTGATAGGGCCCACAACCTCAGATGGATTGCTGATGGAGCCAACAGCATTTCTAGCAAAGACCCGGAATTCATACTGGGAATTCTGTGTCAAGCCAGAGACGGTGAATTGAGTCTCAATAACATTGGTGAAGCTGGCCTTGGTCCATCTCCCATCTGGAAGGTCACGCCTCTCCACAATGTAGCCTGTAATCTTGCTTCCTCCATCAAAAGCTGGCTGTTGCCATGAAAGGTTGACAGAGTTCTTGGAAATATCAGTGATCCGAACATTCCTTGGAGGTTCTGCAATCATGAGAAGGCAGGTCAGTGGCACTTAGACCAATTCATTGAAGACATGAGATTTGCATTTTTAAGTTATCAGAACTGCTCTTCTCATGACGAGTGCATCTGGCAAATACATACCACAGGCATCGATGGCCAAGACTGGCTCCGAAGGATGGCTGGGTTTTCCAATGCCAGCAGCATTTTCTGCATACACCCTGAATTCGTAGATAAGCCCGGCACTGATGGTTGTAACTTTGAAGTGAGTTGTACGGATGATCATTTTGTTGGCTTTTTGCCATAAGATACTGTTTCTGTCTTTCATTTCCAAGTGGTAGCCTATGACTGCATTTCCTCCATTGGACACTGGTTCATGCCAGCCCACAGTGATGCTTTCCCGAGTAACATTGGAGACCCAAGGTGTAGATGGTGGCCCAGGTGTTGCTATGAAAGAGGGAAAACCCATACGTTAATATAGGCATTTAGCACATTTATAGAGTAAAGAGCAATCTGGGGTGTGTAAGGTCAGCAACTTACTGTATGGCAGTTTGACAACTATACAAGCTGAATCGATGTGATCACTGATGCCGAAGCGATTTTCTGCCTTGATTCGGAACTGGTATTCTTCTCCCGTGGTCAGTTTCATGACTTTAATCATGGTTCTTGCCACCGTGGCCGACACTTCGGACCACACTGCCGTACTTGTTTCTCTCTTCAGTACGATGTAGTTGGTGACGTGGCTTCCACCATCATACTTGGGTGGCTCCCATCTGAGGGTCACACTTTCTTCAGTGATGTCACTGATGACCACAGGGCCAGTCGGAGGACCCGGCCTGTCCAGCACAATGATGTTAATGAAAGCTTTGGTGGTTCCGCTGGAGTTGGCCGCAGTGATCTCATATCGCCCCGCATCAGTGGTAATGCTTTCTTTGAGATTGATGGTCAGGTTCTCAGCAGTAATCTCAGTGTTAAACCTCATGGTCGCCTTCAGGGGTACACCATCTCTTGATAAGGTCACTTTGGGGAGCGGCTTTCCAGAAATGGGGATGTCAACTTTAAGATTGGAGCCAGCTCTAACATACACTGTGTGACTTGGGAAATTCTTCATATCAATTTCAGGTGGCTCTGAAGAAATAGAAGTACGGAACATAAAGGTGAAAAAAAAATGCCCCAAAACATTGTTACCTGAATGCAGGAATAGGCATAAAGTTAGCTATACCTAGCTGATCCTTTATGAGAACAGGAAGCAGGAGCTCTCTTGGGTCACTCAGGCCTGCTTGGTTTTCGGCAAAGACCCGGAAGAAGTATTCATGACCCTCTCTCAGACCGGAAACAACGTGATGGGTTGTCTTTACCACTGCACATTTAACCCAGTTTTTCTGGCCTTTCTCTAGTGCTTCGACGACATAATGTACCACTCGGCTTCCGCCATCGTGTTCTGGCTTCAGCCAGCTCAGCGAGACACTGTCTTTGGAGACACTGGTTACTCCAAGCTTTTCTGGTGGGCTTGGTTTTTCTGAAAAAAAAAATGCATTGAAAGAAAGGGGACAATTATTACAACATTTTCCCCAACTGTCATCCTTCACACATTGTCAAAGAAAAACTTAAATCAAGGGCATGCATTTCCTCTGACTTGAGTCTTATTAATGAGACAATTTTGGCTTTTTTTAGCCAATCAAAGTTCCACTAAGTTACAGTACTCAAATTTAAATTAAGTCTCAAATAACCATATACAATAACAAAATTTGCCCAAAATTCATTGTGGGTATTAAACAGAGGGACAAGAGGAACAATCTTGTAAGAAACTACATATAGTTTTTATACATATACTAAATGTATAGCTAGATTTGATTATCCTTAAATCCAACAAATCTTTTATTGACATTCTAGCTATGTCAATTACTAGAGATTCATTTTGCGCTATGGCATAAATAGTTTGGGGGTGTGAACCAAAAGTCTTTAAGATGAAATATAATTAGAGTGATTCACATTATTCTAGCAAAATAGGTATAAAATGTACCTGTTATTTTGACGCCTTCCTTCGTTTCGGCTGGCACACCAACACCAAACTCGTTTTCTCCAGACACTCTGAAGTAGTAAATCGCTCCTTCTTGTAAGTTGGTCACTTTGTAAGAGAGGCGGTTGCAGTTGTTAGTGACAGATACCCATGCCTTCTTGCTGGCCTCTCGTTTTTCTATGTGGTAATTCTTCACGGGTGCTCCACCATCATTTTCAGGAACATCCCAGGACAGCACAGCAGTCTCCTTGGTTACTTCACGTACAGTAACATTGGCTGGAGGTCCTGGGGAATCTAAAACTTTGACAACGAAGGTCATCGAAGCAGCACTCAAAACATTCTGAATTGTTAGCGTGTACTTTCCAGAATCGTTGCGGGTGGCATTCTCAATGGTGAGTGATGTACGAGATTCTGTGGAGTCAATGTATGCTCTTGTGCGGAGGTCAGTGTCAGGCTTACTCCAGGAGACGTTGGGGATGGGTCTTCCTCTGAAAGGTACAGTCATGGTAAATGAGGATCCGGCCTTGACAACCAAAGTCTTCCTCATTTCACTGTCGACATCAAATACAGGTTCTTCTTCTCTTTCTTTGGCTACCTGGGGGTCGGAGCTGTCACTGGGGTCACTGGCACCGACCTTATTGACAGACCTCACTCTGAAGATGTACTCAGCTCCAGTGGTTAGCCCACTCAGTGTGTATTCTGTGCCTCTGAAGCTCTGGATGGCAGCCTTCCAGTCATCCTCGTCAGACCTTTTGTATTCTACCGTGTATCCCGTTATTGGCGCCCCACCATCAAACAGAGGCTTCACCCAACCAATGGTGATGGTTGTTTTGCCCGAGTCTACAATTTTGGGTTTGGATGGAGGAGATGGCAGGAACACGGGATCTTCCGCTCGAACTAAGGGAGACGTTTCACTTGGAAGACTCAGGCCGGCAGCGTTTTCGGCGAAAACCCGATACTCGTATTCACATCCTTCCCGGAGTCCTGTTGACTTCACTCTCAGATCGTAGACTGGTTTTTTATTCACACGCACCCACCGTAGGCTGTTTTTCTCACGTCTTTCAATTATGTATCCAGAGATGTCACTGCCTCCGTCAGTCTCAGGTCTTGACCAGCAAAGTGTCATGGAATCTTTGGTCACAGATGTAATTTCCAAAGATGTGGGTGGACTAGGAACGGTGAACGGATCTAGTGCCTTCACAGGCACGCTCTCTAGGGGCTCGCCGACACCATATTTATTAACACCCGTTACTCTAAAGATGTATTCATTGCCTTTGAGTAGCTTGGTCACCTTACAAGATGTCGTCCTCAACTCGGCTTCACATATTGTCCACGCGAGGCGGCTTGTTTCACGCTTTTCTACAATGTAATAGTCGATATCAGCACCACCGTCTTCTTGGGGACGTCCCCAGGAAAGGGAGCACTTCTCCGCTGTGAGGCCAGTTATTTCAAGAGGTCCTGCTGGTGGGCCAGGCTTATCCAGCACTTTACAGTTAACCGCCATAGTCCGAGTTCCTGCAACGTTCTTCAGTGTAAGCACGTACTGCCCAGTGTCTCGTCTCACACAGTCTTTAACTGTTAACGTGGTATGATAGTCTGTTGAGACAATTTCTGTTTTTGCCCTTTCTTCAATTTCTACCCCATCCTTGGCCCAGGAAATGACTGGCAGTGGTCGTCCTGCAATGTCTGCATTTATCTTAAGGACCTCTCCAGCTTTGACAACAATGACGTCTCGGAATTTGACATCCATCATAATTCTTGGTGCCTCGACGTCGTCTTTGACTGTAATAGGTCCAGTGGATTCGGATGGTTCGCTAACCGAGTCAGCGGCGTTTCTTGCAAAAACTCGGAATTCATAACGCTGGTCTTCAGTGAGCTCAGTTACTTCAAAGTACGTCTCCTGCACATTAGTGAAATTGCATTTGAGCCACCTGCCATCAGGCAATTCCCTGCGCTCGACAATGTATCCGGTGATCTTAGCTCCACCATCGTAACGTGGTTTCGCCCACTTAAGTGATACCGATTTTCTTGTGATATTGGTGACCTCAGGTTGCCCCGGAGGGTCACAGGGATCCCTTGCAGGGACTGGTTCACATGCTTTACTGCATTTACCAATGCCAGCAATATTCTCAGCGTATACCCGGTACTCATACATCAGCCCCTCATCAAGACCGGAGACTTTCATCTGCGTATCTGAAATGAGGACTTTGTTTGCCTTTGACCAGAGAATGCTGCTTCTTTCTTTGTATTCAAGGTGATAGCCAATGACTTGGCTTCCTCCGTCGTTAACTGGCACCTGCCAAGTTACGATCATGGTAGATTTCGTGGCATGCACAACTTTGGGAGTGCCAGGAGGCCCTGGGGGGCTGAATGGATACTCAGCAACCACCGCGGAGGATTCGCTGTAGGAACTCTTTCCATACCGATTCTCTGCACAAACACGGAACTGATACTCACTTCCTGTTGTCAAGCGGACTATTTTGATGGATGTTCTCGCCACCGCTTGTGAAACTACCTGCCATGTGGTAGACGTGGTTTCCCTCTTCTCAACAATGTAGTTGCTAATTTGGCAGCCACCATCATATTCTGGAGGATTCCAAGAAATGGACACATTGTCACAACTAACTTCATCAATGCGTATGGGTCCTGGAGGTCCTGGCTTGTCAAGGACAATGACAGTAATTGGAACCGTTATGGATCCAGCAGAATTGGAAACACACAGTTCGTAAGTTCCAACATCTTCTCTTGAGGCTTCTTTAATAGAAAGGGTTGTTACCGTCTTTGAGGACGATACATTGACTCTAGTGGTCTCTCTAAGAACCTGGCCATCTTTTTTCCAGGTTACAGTAGCTTGAGGTCTTCCTTTAAATGGTATGTCAATTTTGAGTTGGTCCTTAGCCTTAACGTTGAAAGTATTGAAAGGAAGCTCAACCGAAGGCTTTATTTCAATATCTTTCGCAATGACAGGCACTCCGAGCTGTCTCGGGTCGCTCCTTCCTTTCTCATTAACCGCGGCTACCCTGAAGACGTACTCTTCTCCCGCAGTCAGGCCAGAAATGGTTGCTTCTAGCGTCTTCACTTGCGTGCATGTGCTCCACTTCTCACTGCCCTTTGTCTGCATCTCGACGACATAGCCCGTGATTTTGCTGCCACCATCGCTTTCTGGTTTCTCCCACTTAATTGTAGCTGTGTTGCGGGTCACATCGACAAGGGTCACCCTTCCAGGGGGGAGTGGTGGTTCAGATACTTTTATAGGTTCTGCTATTTCGGCTGGTAATCCAATCCCATATTCATTGGAAGCCAGGACTCGGAAGTAATAAGAGCACCCTTCTTGTAGATTCTCAATTTTGAAAGTGTTCTTAGTGCAGTTGTTTGTAATAGTCGCATAAGCTTTTCTTGTAGTTTCTCGTTTCTCAACGATATAATTTGTAATCTTGGCTCCGCCGTCAATAAGCGGTGGCTCCCAGGACAGTGTCACCGAGTCTTTCTTTACTTCTCTCACAGTCAGATTCACGGGTGCACTTGGTGAGTCAAGAACTCTAACATTGACAAAGGCTGTTTTGGAGCCGCTGTTGTTTTCCAGGGTGAGGTTGTATCTCCCGCTGTCAAATCTGGTCACATTGTCAATCACCAGCATTGTATACGAACTAGTCACCTCGATCTGGGCCCTCTCCGTGAGAATACCATCAGCCTTTTCCCATCTGACTTCAGGTTCTGGCCGACCTTTGATAGTGACAAATAAGCGCAAGGTGGCGCTTGCCCGGAGAGTGACCACCTTCCTGAGATCAGCGTCGAGTTCGATTTCTGGGGGCTCTGCCCTCTCCTGAGCAACAACAGAGCCGGGGATGGTTGCGGGTTCGCCTACACCTTCAGTATTGAAAGCACAGATACGGAAATTGTACTCAGTATTCTCTTTAAGCTTGGTCACCGTGAACTGCTTCCCTTGTAGTCCTGATGGTGGCGTGCAGGTTGTCCATTCATCAGCGGCAGCTTCTTTGAGCTCGATAACATAGCCTCGAACAGGTGCACCGCCATCATAAATTGGCTTATTCCATGCTAAGGAGACAGAAGATCTAGAAGTATCTGTCACTTTGGGGTTACTTGGTGGACCCGGTGGATACAAGGCATCGCATGCCCGGTAGAAAACAGATGGCTCGCTGGGTTCCCCAATGCCGGCGGCATTCTCAGCGGCGACTCTGAATTCATAGGAATGACCTTCTGTGAGGCCAGTTACCCTGAACCGAAGGTCTGTCAATGTTTTCTTGTTACACTTGGTCCATCTTATTCCTTCCTTGTCTCGCTTTTCGAGAATGTACCCCTCAATCTCAGCACCTCCATCATCCACTGGGCGTGTCCACGTCAGCACCATGGAATCTTTGGTGATGGCTGAGGCCTCAGGTGTTGAAGGAGGGCCTGGACGCTTATAAGGATTACAGGCTATCACAGGCTCAGATTCCAGGGGCTCTCCGATTCCATACTTATTCACTGCCATGACCCGGAAAATGTACTCGTTCCCAGGAAGTAACTTGGTGACTTTGTAGTTAAGGGCCTGCACCTCAGTTGAAACCTGGGTCCAGGAGAGTCTGCTTGTTTCTCTCTTTTCGATGATGTAATGAGAAATACTAGCACCACCATCTTGCAAAGGTGGGCTCCATGCCAGGTAACACTTTTCGGCTGTAACTCCAGTGACTTTAAGGGGTCCTTCAGGAGGCCCTGGCCTGTCCAGCACCTTTACAGTGATAGGTATGGTCTTGGTGCCACCGACGTTGCTGAGTTTCAAGGTATACTGCCCTCCATCAGTACGGATGCAGTCTTTCACAATGAGAGTTGTTTTCTGGAGACTAGATTTAATTTCCATTCGAGCAGCTGTTTCTTCAAGTTCATTCCCATCCTTGGACCAAACGATATCAGGGATAGGTTTGCCACGGATATCAGCTTCGAGAACAAAGGTCTCCCCTGCATGCACAACGATGACATCTCTGTACTTTGGATCCAGTGAGGCATTTGGTGCATCGATTTCATCCCTTGCAGTGATAGCACCACTGCTCTCAGAGGGCTCGCTGAAGTTGCCAGCCGCGTTTCTTGCGATTACTCTAAATTCATATCTTTGGTCTTCTACGAGCCCAGTCACTGCGAATTCGGTCTCCACCACATTGGTGAAGCTGGCTTTCATCCATCGGCCATCAGGGAGGTCTTTCTTTTCTACGACATAGCCGGTTATCTTGCTGCCACCGTCATAAGCAGGTTTCTTCCATTTCAGGGTGACGCTATTTCTCGTGATAACGATGGCTTCGGGACGGCCGGGTGGGTCACATGGGTCACGCGCAACATAGCACTCTGACACTTTGCTAGGCTTGCCAATGCCCACGATGTTCTCCGCGGAGACTCTGAACTCATACTCAAGCCCCTCATCAAGCCCAGTTGTTTTGAACTTGGTATCCTGGATGGGGATCTTATTGAGCTTGACCCACAGAATGCTGTTCTTCTCCTTCTGCTCAAGATGGTAGCCAATAACTTTGCTGCCTCCGTCATTAACTGGCTCGTGCCATTGCACAAGCATCTGGTCTTTGGAGACAGATGTCACAAAGGGGGTTCCAGGTGGTCCAGGTTCTTTAAATGGATACTGTACCACAACTGGCTTCGAGTCCAAGGGAGTGCTTTTCCCATACCGGTTCTCAGCAAAAATCCTAAACTGGTATTCACTGCCTGTTTTCAGTTTGCCAATTTTAATGGTGGTTCTGGCAACCGTTGCCGAGACCATCTGCCAGGTGGTGGTGGTGGTCTCTCGCTTCTCGACGATGTAGTTGCTTATCTGGCACCCGCCAGTATAGGCTGGAGGTTCCCAAGATATGACCACAAAGTCTGCACTGACTTCGTCAAACTTCACTGGTCCAACTGGAGGGCCAGGCTTTTCCAAAACGATGATGCTGAGGTTTTCTGTGGCTGTGCCCGCACTGTTAGTCGCGGTGACGCTGTATTTTCCGAAGTCGTCCTTGCTACTTTCCTTGATGTGTAGAATGGTCGAAGTAGCTGTGTCTTCCACGTTTACTCTTGTGGTCTGTTTCAGAGGCTCACCATCCTTGACCCAAGAAATTTTCGGTCTTGGTCGGCCTATAACTGGAATTTCTATTTTCAGATCCTCTCCTGCTTGGACACTGTATGTATTAAATGGCAGCTTAAAACTGGGCTGTATAGTCAAGTCCTTGGCGATGACAGGGACGCCGAGCACCCTTGGATCACTCTTCCCTTTCTCGTTGTAAGCTTTGACGCGGAACTGATATTCTTGTCCCGAGCTCAGACCAGTAACGACCGCGTTACAGACTTTGGATTCAGCCACTACGCTCCATTTTTCCGTTCCTTTGGGCTGCATTTCAACCACGTACCCCAGGATTCTGCTACCGCCGTCATGTTCGGGCTTCTCCCACATGAGTGATGCACTGGTCTGGGACACGTCGGTGAGCGTCACCTTTCCTGGCGGGGAAGGAGGTTCAGAAGCCTTCACGGCATCAGAGGTTTCCGCGGGGACCCCAACTCCGAATTCGTTCTCAGCCATGACTCTGAAGTAGTAGATGGCTCCCTCGGTCAGATTCTCAACTTTAAAGCTGGTTTTACTGCATTTACTGCTCACATTGGCATAGGCCTTTCGGGTTGACTCGCGCTTGTCGATTACATAGTTCTTGACCTTTGCCCCACCGTCAATGAGAGGTGGTTCCCATACCAGAAGGACAGAGTCTTTTCTCACTTCTTTGACAGCTAAATTCTGCGGGGGTCCTGGGGTGTCAAGGACTTTCACGGTCACAAAAGCCGACTTGGACCCGCTGCTGTTCTCCAGCTTGAGAACGTACTTCCCAGCGTCGTTTCTATCGCAGTTGTCTATTGAGAGCTGGGTAAAGTTCATGCCCTTCTCAATCTGGACCTTATCTGTGAATTCCCCTTCCTCCTTAGACCACGTGATCTCAGGTGTGGGCCGGCCTTTGAATGGGATGTGGATTCTGGCAGATCCTCCGGCTCTCACAATGATGCCTTTTCTTAACTCAGAGTCGAGGTCCAGTTCAGGAGCTTCAAGTTTATCTTCCGGTTTCACAGTACCAGGAACGGAGGCGGCCTCGCCTAAACCAACTTTGTTGAGGGCACAGACTCGTATTTTATATTCTTGGTGTTCAGTGAGTTTGGAAATTTCGAATCGAGTGACTCTCAGGCCAGTCTGTGGAGTAACTATTTGCCATTCTTCTTCGTCTGCTTTGCAGACTTCGACGATGTAGCCCAGGATCTCACTGCCGCCATCATAGATAGGTTTGCTCCAGGCAAGAGTGATTGAGTTTTTGGTGGTGTCTACAACATGTGCATTGGTGGGCGGGCCAGGTTTGAACACGGGATCACAAGCCTTGTAGTAAACAGTAGCTGGGCTCGGCTCTCCAACTCCCGCAGCATTTTCTGCGGAGACTCTGAATTCATATTCATGATCTTCCGTTAATCCCGTTACCCTGAGCCGCAAATCTGTAATGCGGCGTTTGTTGCACTTTATCCAGCGAATGCCACTCCTGTCTCTCTTCTCCACGATGTAACCAATAATCTCACTTCCGCCATCACTGTCTGGCCGATTCCAGCAGACCGTCATAGAGTCTTTGGCAATGTTTGTGACTTCTAAGCTCTTTGGTGGTCCAGGAAGCACAAATGGATTTTTCATGAGTACTGGCGCAGACTCCAGAGGTTCGCCAATACCATACTTGTTGACAGCCATTATTCGGAAAATATATTCATTCCCTTCCAAGAGCTTAGTAACTTTCAGAGAGTTAGTCACAACTTCTGAAGCAACCACGGTCCATGCGAGTCGACTGGTTTCTCGCTTCTCAACAACATAGTGAGAAATGTCACTGCCGCCATCTTGAAGTGGTGGAGACCATGCCAAAGTGCATTTTTCACACGTGACTCCAGTAACCTGAACTGGCCCTTCCGGAGGGCCTGGTCTGTCAAGCACTTTCACATTCACTGGGAATGACTTAGAACCGGCAACATTAGAGGCCCTCAAAATATACTGTCCGCCGTCGATTCGAATGGCATCTTTTACAATAAGTAAAGCTTTGAAATCTGTGTTTTTTATTTCACATCTAGCTGATTCTTCAATCTCCTTATCTCCTCTTAGCCACTCGATGGTGGGTAGGGGCTTTCCATGGACGTCAGCCTCCAGTCGGAATGTTTCTCCGGCATTTACCACTATTGTGTCTCTGAATTTTGGATCCATTGAAATCCGTGGGAGTTCAACCTCATCCTTGGCTGTTATTGGCCCAGTGCTATCAGAGGGCTTACTTATTGCGCCAGCTGCATTCTTTGCAATGACTCTGAATTCGTATCTTTCATCTTCAGTGAGACCCGACACAGTGAATTGAGTTTCAATGACATTCGTAAAACTGGCTTTCATCCAGCGACCTTCAGGTAAATCACGTTTCTCTACGATGTAACCGGTGATCATACTTCCACCGTCATACACAGGCTTGGTCCACTGCAGTGTGATTTCATTTCTCTTAACTATGATTGCTTCTGGGGTTCCTGGCGGGTCGCAGGGGTCGCGGGCTACATAGCATTCAGAATTCTTGCTTGCCTTGCCGACACCGACAATATTCTCCGCGTAAACTCTAAATTCGTACTCAATGCCTTCTTCAAGGTTCAAGGCTTTAAACTGGGTGTCATGAATGATAGTTTTGTTGACTTTTGTCCACAAAATGCTATTCCTTTCCTTTCTCTCAAGGTGGTAACCTATGACTGGGCTTCCACCATTGTTGATTGGTTCATGCCATTGGAGGACCATAGCGTCTTTGGAGATGGCCGTGGCAAATGGTGTCCCCGGAGGGCCTGGTTCTTTGTAGGGATACTGAGCTACAATTGGTTCTGACTCTAAAGCAAAGCTTTGTCCATATCGGTTTTCAGCAAATATTCTGAATTGGTATTCTGTACCAGTTTTCAGTTTGGTTACTTTGAGTGTAGTTCTGGCAACAGTGGCAGAGACGACATCCCATACTGTGGTGGTTGTATCTCTTTTCTGAACAATGTAATTGGTTATTTGGCAACCCCCTGTGTATAAGGGAGGCTCCCAAGATAATGTAATACTCTCTGCACTGACTTCATCAAATTTAACAGGCCCTCTTGGAGGATCAGGCTTATCTAGAGCAATAATTTCAATGGTTGCTGTTTTCTGACCCACGACATTGGCAACTGTGATTCCGTACTGTCCGCCGTCGTCTTTATGAGTTTCTTTAATACTGAGGGTGGTAAGGTCAAGGGAGTCGGTAACATTGATTCTTGTGGTCTGCTTCAGCGGCACCCCGTCTTTGGTCCAGGAAATGGTTGGTTTAGGACGTCCGGAAATTGGTACTTCTACTTTCAAATCTTGCCCAACCTGGACACTGTAGCTGCTGAATGGTGGTCTCACATCTGGTTCGATGACTAGATCCTTGGCAACTATTGGAACTGCAAGGGACCGCGGGTCACTTCTTCCTTTTTCATTTACAGCAACAACTC